ATTTTGTGTATCACTGAAGGTCTCCTACCATTTCCATATGTTTTCCCTTCTCTCTTCCTTTCTCTCCCCCCATTCGTCTTAGTTTACTGTTAAATTGCAACTTCATTTTTCTAAATTTCATGATTTAAGTTCAATTCTTTAATATGTATAAAATTTATTTTGGTATGGGGACTTGAATTAACTTCAGTTTTCCCCAGTTTATCAGTTATTCTGGTAATATTGAAAGAATAGTCCTCTTTATTTGGAGGTGGTGGTAGTGCTGTGATTGAACCCAGGGTGTCATGAATGCTAAGCACTCTGTCATTGAGCTACATCCCATTCCTTTTTATTTTATTTTGTGGTAGGGTCTCTCTAAGGTGAGTGGGTTGGCCTTGAGTTTGTGATTCACCTGCCCTAAAGTAGGAAAGACATAGAAGATATACATAATATAATTAATAAGATTAATTTAATATGTTTAGCCAATGAAGACTAAACACTTTGAAGCACCCTCAAAATGAGAAACCCTTAGTATCAAATGCACCCAAAGACAGAGACAATTCTTCAGCTTTGGAAACTTCTATTAAAAAGCAAGAATAAAAATAAGTGAACTTTTGTCAAAGTCAAGAAATTAGAGAGACTAGGGATGTAGCTTAAGTGGTGTTACACTTGTCTAGCTTATTTGGGTTTAATCCCAAACAAGAGAAATTAGATATGCAATAAAACAAATCTAAGAGAATGAAAAAATTTAAAAATTGAAATTAATTATAAATTGGTTTTAAGACAGTCCAGTTGATAACTGCTAAAGCTGTTTCTTTAAGAATATGAATGTATTAAGTAAATATCTTGGCAGCATATTAAGAATAAGAGAAAAATAAATAATCCAAGGAGAAAATAAATGTAAATTTGAAAGTGGCTAAATGAACATTAGATAATAGTATGTACAATTTAATATTAATAAATTTAAAAGTCTAGTCAAAAGTGATGATTATTTGGAAAAAATGTGTCAGAATTGAGTGAAACAGTAAACATTTTTGGCTACTTCAAAATATTTTAGGGTAATTCTTTTGTATTTTAAAGATATGAATAATTTTTTTTCACATACAGCTATTTAAAAACATGGGTATTAAGTTTTCTACTAATTGAGTCCAGCAGGCTCTGATAACAGAGCTTTATAAAAAGAGGATAGAAAACAGAAAACAATGAAACAATCTTACCTGGTAGTATATAGAAGCAAAAGTCCAAAATAAAAGACTAGCATGTAAGTTGAGTAGTGAAAATGTAGATTTTGTTCTCAGTGCAAATATAGTAGGAAATTTGCAAATATAATTATCACTGGTAAACAAGGAGCCTCTAGGAGATGCTAAAAAGTAACATGGTGAAATTCAACAATGGTCTCTGGCAAATTAGGATTAGAAGAATTTTTTTAATTAATTTTTAAAATTGGTTATACATGACAGTAAAATGCATTTATGCACTTTGACATATCATACATAGATGGGATATAATTTCTCTATTCTGAGTGTACATGTTGCAGAATTATATTGGTCATGTAGTCACATATATACATAAAGTAATAATGTCTGTTTCATTCTACTATCTTTCCTATCTCCAAATCCCATCCCATTCCCTTCTATCACTTCTTTCTACCTAATCTATGGTAACGCTGTACTTCTAGAAGAATGTTTTCTGTTAAAATAAGCTCTGTAACATGGAAATGTGTTATTCTTTCTGTCATTTGACACTGGTTTTAAAGTTATTGCCAGTACATTAAAAAACAGAAATTAGAATTAGTACTTTCATGATTATCACATCACAGGGTGTTAAAAAAATGTTGTAGATTGAATTCCACAGTGAAGTTATTGTTTGTAAATAATTATTTTTTTGGCTTCAAGATAATTAATAGAAAACTGTTAGAACCAATAATAGAATTTTATGAGATGTTTAGGTGCAAAATCAATAGCTTTCCTATAACAACTAGAAGGTATAATAGAAAAATGATCTCATTTCTAAGGAGTACATGCTTAACTTTATCAGGAATTATGAAGGTACTTACACTAACATAAAGGAGACCAAACATCTCTACTAAAACATAATAATTATTAAAAAGACTTAAATAAGTGAAGAGATAGTACATTACTTGGTTGGCAGACAGAATATTGATGAAAATTTAAAGATTCCTGTTATCTTCAAATTAACTTGTTGGTTTGATGCAATTCCAATAAAATTCCAAGCAGAAGAATCTAGAATGGGTTGGAATAATGAAAATTATTTGAAAAGTGAACAAAGAAGGAGGATTTGTACTGTCAGATAAAGCGTAACAGAGTTGTGCTTGTGAAATAATAGGCAGAGAGCCAGTGAGACTTTTTTGTTAGAAACAGTATTAATATAAGTAATCAAAAAATCGATAAGCCATGAAATAAAAGTTCACTAGTGTGATTACATGAAAGTTGCAAAATACAACTTATCAAAACACCATAAACAATTCAAAAAGCTATCAGTCAGAACTCCACAGAGTTGTGAAGAGGTCAAGGAATATCATTTGATGTCCTCAGTGGATGAAGGTAGCAGTACATGGGCGGGGGGCATGGTGGTAGATGTAGAGCTGGTTGGTAAGACTGTAGCCTAAATGTATGCACCTTTAACCTCCTCTCTTTCTCATTTCTTTCTGGAATAACATAACAACCATCAAGTATTCAGTGGTGTGGGATAGGGAGGACATAAAAAAGAGATGTGGTTGGCAAATGGCAGACAAACAGTATTAGGATGAAGTTGCAGAGGAGGAGTACCTAAATTCTCGGTAATCATTGGTCCAAGCATTCTAAAACATTTTCCAGAATTGATGTGAACTAACTGGGAGATTCATGGGATTTCTGCAACTGGACTGGAGTTCCAATCAATCACAGGATCCATAACCATCTTCATAAAAATTAAAGTCGAGAAGCCAGCTTCTACCAGGACCAAGATGGAATTGGATCATACACTATATTTCAACCCCTTGAACTAGCTATTCATACCCATCCAGTCATTTAATAACTTTGTATTGATGTGTCTCCACCTTTTATTCAGTTTAAGTTTTGGGATCCCATTTATCATGTTATGGAAGGATGCTGTACCTGGCAAGTACTTGCAAAAGGAAGAGAACTTCCATAAAAATATATAAATTTCAGGAATATTAGTATCAATAGAAGTATAATGAGAAACTTAACAGTATTTGGAGAGTGGAATCCACTGGAGAAAATAAGCTTAAGAACTCCTGTAGATGCTTGGAGATGGGAGAAAGTCCAACAGCTATCTGAACTGCTTAACTTCTGTTGGAATTTAGAAAGTGATAGTGGCTGGGAACTTGCACAGGATGGAACAAAAAAATATTGAAATCTTTTGGAACAATGATAGTTTGTGGTCACATTTTTGTTTCAGTTATAAAGAGAAGTGTCCATGTTACTTTATTTTCAGTCCAATTCCGTTCTACCACATTGTGCTTTCTACTCTTCCTTTTCTTATAGACACATCAGGTCTCATTGCATGTATTTACATTTTCCTCTTTTGAGAGGCCATTTATTCTTGATGAACAGAGATCACTGTCTAATTATGCATGGGACACAAGCAGTTTGGGATAACCTTCTTGAATAATTTTAATAACAACATGCTTTAAATATTTATTACTTTGGGGTAATTTTGCAAATTTTTAAAGAGCTTTTTGATTGACTGTCTTTTTTTTTTTGTATTAGGAGGAATGAATCCCTAATTGGACAAAGAAGAATAAAATATAGGGACAATTTTGCTTATAAAAAGGCAAATGTACCTTCAAAGAAGTTTAAAGCTGTAGTACTAGAGATTGGAAGAGTAAGTTTCTTTTGAGTTGTAAATTTTAATTAATTGATGAAACTAATTAAGAGATTACATATCTAAAGATGATTAACTATATTTTAACTTATTATAATATGAGACAGAAATACCAACAAGCATAATTTTATAATTCCATACTACATTGTAAATTATTCAGTTATCATTTAGATATTTTTATAATAACATTTCTATTGGAGTACTTTTGTTAATTTTGATAGTAATTTTAATTGAAAGATATAATGAAACCACCCTGTTTCAATGTCAAAATATAATCATTAAAGTATGAATAAATTATTCTTTTGTGTTCAAAGTTTAAATTTAATATGTAACATGTTTATTATTTCCTTAAGAATACAGATATATCATCAAGGAAAAGAAACATTAAAAAGGAAACTCTAAGAGATTTTTATTCAAAAAATCCAAATATTTTGGAAATTCCAGAAAATGAAAGGTATTAACTAATTAATTAATTCAATAAATGTTTATTTGATTTTGCTCTGAGTTGGGCATAAATTTGGGTACTAAGGACACACTGGTGAACCAAACAATAAAATCACTGTCCTCAAGGTGCTTACTTTAATGAAAAATACATAGTAGTCAAGTAAACACACAAGTATATAAGACAGTTTAAAATTTTACTATAAATTTTATAAAGTAAATGAAATAGATGATATATTATAGAGTAATTGGCTATGAATAATTGGTGGCAGCAATAATATAGATGTGGGGTCAGGAGATCAAATATAAATTACTTTTAATTATCAGAGGACCTGATAATTTTTTTTAAAAATTTTAACTGACACATAAAATTTTACATATTTATGGGGTAACAGTACAGTAATTCAATACATGTATACAATGTATGATGACCAAATCAGTGAAACTAGTATTTCTATCTCAAACATTTATCATTTCTGTACTGGGAACTTTTAGTTATTTTAAAACATATCATAAATTATCATAGACTACTATTATCCTATTGTGTTATATAGAACACTTAATCCAATTCCTCCTATCTAGTTGTATTGTATGATGACCAAATCAGTGAAATAGCATTTACATCTCAAACATTTATCATTTCTGTACTGGGAACCTTTAGTTATTTTGAAACATATCATAAATTATCATAGACTATTGTTATCCTATTGTGTTATATAGAACACTTAATCCAATTCCTCCTATCTAGTTGTATTTTGGGATCTATTGTTCAATCCCTTTCTCTGTATTTTTCCTCTCTCATACACTTGGAGTCTCTAGGAACCGCAATTATACTCTCTCTTTTGAGATCAACGTTTTCCCCCCCAGCTTCCTCAAATAAGTGAGAACATGCAGATTTTGTCTTTCTAGGTCTAGCTTATTTAATTTAACTTACTACAATTCTATCCATGCTATCACAAATGACAAGAGTTCATTATTGTTAAATGGCTGAATAATATTCCACTGTATATATGTACCACATTTTCTTTATCTATTCGTGCATTGATGGACATGTAGGTTGATTCTCTATCTTGGCTATTATGAATAGTGCTGCAATAAATATGAGAGTGCAGGTATCTTTTTAATATAATAACTTCATTTCTTTGGAGTTAGTTAGTCAGTAGTGAGATTGCAAGATCACATGTTGATCAGCATTTTTGTTGCTAGGACCAAAATATTTAACATGAACAACCTAGAGGAGGAAGACTTTAGTTTGAACTCCTAGTTTCAGAGGAGTAATCCATGATTCACTGACTCATAGCAGGAAAGCTTCTCAGCTCATGGCAACCAGTGAAGGGAGATCAAGGGAGGTGGGGGAGGAGGCAGAGAGAGAGGCGCCATGGACAGATAACAGTCTAGGCTGTGCTTCTGGTGACCACTCTCCTTAGCCATGCCCAGTTTGCCAACAGTTACCAGCCAGTAGTCCATTCAGACATCAATCCAACAAATGAATTAATCCACTGACAAGGCCACAGCTCTCATAATCCAGTCATTCACCTCTGATCATTCCTGCATTATCTACACATGAGCTTTTGGGGGAATATGAAAGATTCAAACAACAACAATGTGGCATTTGTATTTTTTATTTTCGAGGAACTGCCATACAATGTGCCATTGTGTCTATATCCATGACCTAATGTTCTGATTATCAAACTTACCATGGCAAAATGTTCAGCTGCTATTTCTATGAATATGTATTTATGATTCTTATAATTCTTTATACATCTCACCTTCATTTATATAATGTCTTTTACTGTTTAGTGATTTTGATCTTAATTTGCACCACAGAGATATTATTAGAGCCCCTTCTACTATTCTTTTGTTTGCATTTGCCTATTATTTTCTTGATAATTCCTTCATTCTCTTTATTTATATTATGACATATTATAAATGTCTGTATTTATTGAATATTCTATTCTGTTGTCACTGTCAACTTTGTCCTTTAGCAAGTATTCATGTAGATAGCTTGGAGCTCTCTTTTCTGTTCTGTTACTCTATTTATTTACTTTTAAGTTAATATCACACCATCATAATTACATTGGCTTTAAATTAAATCTTGCTGTATGATAGAAAGTCTCTCTAGCTTGTTCTTTTCCTTCATGTAAATCTTGGATAATCTTTTACAAAATAGGATGGCTTGTCAAATATTACAAAATTCTATTGTGATTTTGATAAGGATAGAATTGAATAGATACACTGGTTTAGGAATTTTTTTTTTGAGCCTATCTCAATATTGTAATTTTAGTCTCAATCTCAATATTGAGTCTATCTACTAATAGATAGACCACGGTCTTAGGTATTATAATTCCTTTTAATAAATTTACATTTCTATGATTTCCCCCTAAAGGTATTAAACATCTTTTGCCAGCTACATCAAAAGTGTTTTTGTGAAATTAGTATATACAGTATTTTAAAATTACATTTTGAATTCTCCTAGTCTTTGTATAGTAATAATAGAACTTTGATGCATACCCTCTAAACAACTTGATAATTTATTCATAGATACAGGTTTTTGTGTGGACTGTCATGCTGTGAACAGATAATGAAAGTTTTGCTTATTTCTTTCTAAAACTCAATCCTCTTCTTTTTTTTCTCTTGTCTAGCATGTAGACTAAGACCTCAATATTAAATAATTTGTGATAATGAACTTACTTATTGTAACATGCATTTAAAAATACTTATTATTTTCAGATAATACCTAGTTATTAAGAAATTTACCCCATCTCTCCTTCACTTAGTTTGTAAGGGTAACTATATAACTTTAATACAGTGTCACAACTAAGAAATTGATGTTAGTATAATCCAATGACCTTATTGAGATCACAGCAGTTTTTAATGCATGCGCGTGCATGGGTGTTTGTGCATGTGAGTATGGGTTTAATTCTCTGCAATTTGTAGGACTTAGATGACCATCCCCATAGTGATAGATCCAGTTGTTGGAAGAAATGTCAGGTGATAGAAGGAGAAACATTCTGCATTCTCTGTGGGCTGACAGTTAGTTCCCAGCCAAGCTCCCTGGAGTCTGTCAGTTCTGTGCCAAGATACCTGCAGGAAGCCTGTCTTCTCACCCATTCCCTGAACTAGCTCACCCTCAGTGGGGGGAAAGATGCAGCTAATTGTCTCAGCTCATCTTAGGATTTTGAGGAGATTGGCCTCCTCATATAAGGACAAGAGTAATTTTTATTTTGGAAATGGTATTTTTAATTTTCACAATACTTATTAAAACAATTCATCTTTGTTGGGAAACCATTAGCATATCACACAAAAAAAGCAAAGCACAACAAAAAGCACCAGAAACCTGGAATTAAAAGGAAGTAATCAACAAAATCCCAAACACTTAGAACTGAGGGGTAATGTAAAACATGCTTGCCCAAAGGAAGCTTCTCTGCATACTTTCTTCTTCACATGGCTGCATCTCTGCTGCAAGTCCGTGTCTGCCTGCCTGCCTGCCTTTCTGCCTTTCCTCTCTCCTCTTTATCTTCTAATTCCTTTTATCTTCAGATTCAGAATGCTATCTGTGTAAGAGAGCAGAGTACTTGAACTTACCTGTTGGCATCTGTTTTTCTTCTTCTTTTTCTTCTCTCCCTTCTCTAATATAAATCAGGTAGAATGGTTCAGGCCAGTGAGGGAGCAACTCTACCCATGGTACCAAATAAATGGGTAAAAGTGTTTTGAAGAAATGAGGTTATGCTCTGCATAACTACTCTAAAAAAAAGTAGTTAGGCTACTTTGAGTTTTGATAGGAATTACTTTTTAACTATTGGTTAAAAATTGAATTTTTTTCTGGAGCATATTGAATGTGCATATATGAAGTTATTTAATCTATATTTGTCTGATATTTTAGTTCCTCTGCAAGTCTAGTGTTAGACAAAAATTTTCTCGATTGTTTTTCCTTAAAGACCAATACAGAGAAGTGATTTTCTCATTTAATATTGAAGTTAGTTGATGAATGTGAACATTATATCATAATTTATTTGTCTTATCCCAGTGGGCATTTGGTTATGAAAGAAAAGCTCTGGTTGAGCTGAAACATGAGGGGGAGGGAGTTGAAGGCACTCTGTGGTCTCTTTGTCCCTAGTGTTTATCTTTGTGCCTTCCTTTCTACCGTATTTCACATTTTTACCACTGAGCAAATGATAAATAAGCCAGAAACTTTTGCATAAGGGCAGTCAAGTGACTTCTTGATGTATTTTGTACAAATTGGAATCATTATTCTTTATTAAGGGTTTGGAAGTTTTTGTATAATTCCAAAGCTGTTTTCTCCCTTGGCAGAAATAAGAGACCCGATGTTAGAAAAATAGCACAACGATACCTGATGATTCACATGAATCCACTAATATTAGATTATATTAAAAGAAAAAGGTTTCATCAAATAGTTCTTGAAGAGATGCCCTGGAGAGCTCAGATGAACCTGTATCTGGCAATCACATGCTACAACCTGCTTTTACAAAAGCTAGGAGAGTGCACGAAGACGAAACCTGGCATTTCACACACAATGGTCAGGTATAGTATGTTATCAGTCAGTTGTACTTTTTTAGTCTCATGAACATGGATTGTGTTTCTATATTCAAGCCTTCAATATTTATAACAATAGGCTTACAGAATATCTTGATACTGGCCATTGGTGCATTTCTTACATTTTTTTTTAATCTCAGAATCTATTCTGTCAAACAGGTGCTGTGCTAATTTGCATATATCTTGAATTTGTTTGTTGGTATAGTTTTCAGGGCAAGGCTAATTCCAAGAGAAATTTAGCATGAATTGTATTATAAGTGTATGTATTAGCAGACACTAGACAGATCTTGATTTCATTTAGAGGTATATTTGAAGCCTCTATAAATAGAGATCTTATTTTCTCATATGATGTAAGCTTTTCCTATAGCTATTTCAACAGACATTTCTGAGCTCTAATTGAATGTCTTCAGCTAAGTGCTGTGAAAGATAAAAATTAAAGATAGATATGTAACAAGGAAGATAAAAATTGAAGATAGATATGTAACAAGGAAGATAAAAATTGAAGATAGATATGTAACACCATTAGAAAGGTGAAAGGTGATACAGAGTCAATCATTCATTAAAAAAAAACTTGTTGATTACCTGTTAGCTACAAATCACTGAGTTAGGTGCAATGAACATACAAAGATGAATAGGATGCACAAGTTAGAGTTGGTAGAGTTATCATAAACATTCTCAATAATTGCAATCAAGGGTAGAATGTCAAGTACATATGAAGTTGTTGTTATAATAGGCTTTAAGCTAGCTGGACCTAACAGCAAAGGTTTCATGGAAGGGACAAGCAGTCCTGGTCTTGTTGGATAAGCAGGTTTAGAAGTATGCAGATGGTGGATAGTTGTGAGGATGTGCAGAGATGATAGTTGGAAGAGCGAAGGTCAGAGTCTGGGTAGGACACATAGGATGTGTCCAAATAGTCTGATTAGAATCTATGGCATATGAGAGGAGTGGTGTGCAGTAATTAGAGAAGTAAGTGGGTACCAGATCATGGAGAATTTTCCATTTCTGTTAAATCTGAGCTTTACTTTATATACACAAATAGATTATTGAGGGTTTTTGAACAGGACTGTCATAAGAAATATTTTTGGCAGCAATATATCAAATAGATTGGAGAGAGGAAAGACTGAAGACAAGGATATGAATTAACAGGGTATTTATTTCAATAATTCAATGAAGAAAAAAATGTAGGTCGAAATTCACAGTGAACTTGATTCTGGAGTCAGTTTCTCCAGTATTTTGGTTAAAAATCACAAAAACATCTGTGGATAGATCCCTTTCCTATGTGGACCAGATCGCATTCAAGAAGCAGTTAACTCACTAAGTGACCTATTCTTGGGGCCAGGCCAGGGAAAGGATTGGCTTCCTTACTATTCTGTGGACATGGAGAAATCTTGGAGCTTCCAATCACCATTTAACCATGATCACTTGATGGTACAATAACACAAAGATCAAATTTGTGTCAGAGTAACTTGCTGATAACTTTCATTTTATTAAAGCTGTTAATGTATACTCAGTGTTAAATTAATTACTCAATTGTATATTTTATTTTATTTTTTACAATCATTTTTAGATATACATGATGGTAGAGTGTATTGTGACATACATACATGGAGTATAACTTATTTTAATTAGAATACCAATCTTGTGGTTATACATGATGTGGTGTTTCACTGGAAGTGGTTTCATTTACTGTTTAAATTTTATTTTTAAAAAGAAATAACAGTGGTTATGAACACTCTGCTCTATATAGTAGGCCTCTTCACTGAATTGTGTTAAAATTAGGTGGCTTTAAGGTGACAAAAATTATTGTTTCAGCACTCATAGAGGGAGTATAGATCTTTCATCTCCATCTTTAATGGCACTTTTAGGGAAATAGATAATGATGTTAAAATTCCCAATGTCAAGATTATATTGTAAAAATGAAATGGTAAAATGTTTGATTTTTATTAAGTGTTAAAATATTTTATGATATAAAATTTGAGAGCACTCAAAATATTTAAAAGGTAAAAATAGATTTTATTTGACAGATTTCATTCCATGTTGCTTAAATTGTTTCTTAATGTGATTTTTTTCCCTTTGCAGTTTCCGATCATGTGATCCTAATATGTTCTCACTATATAATTCAGGAACAGTATTGCCAACGGCAAAACTGACTCTGGAAAATTATAAAACAATGCTTGATTTCCTACTTACAGCTAAAAGAAGAAAGGCCAACTTACCATCAGGTAAAATAAATATGTTGACTTATTATTGAATGACTCTATAGTTGTGTACATGCCAGTTTCCAAAAACCCAGCAATTTAGTTCAGTTGTTAAATTTAGTTCAGTTGTTAAATTTTCCAAAAACCCAGCAATTTAGTTCAGTTGATATTTTAATAGGACATTTTGTTTGCTCTGTTAAAAAGTTCTATATTTTAGCTAGGTGTGGTGGTGCACACCTGTAATCCCAGTGGATCAGGAAGCTGATGCAGGAGTATTGCTAGTTCAAAGCCATCCTCAGCAACTTATAGAGAGCCTATCTCTAAAGAAACTGTAAAAAGGGACTAGGGGTGTGTCTCAGTGGTTATGCACTCTTGGATTCAATCCCTGGTACCAAAAAATAAAAAAAAAAAGAAAAGAGAAAAATTTTGCATTTTATGGTATCACCATATATACCTGGACATACCTATTTATTATTACAACCTAAAGCAGTTTGACTATTCAATAAATGTAATGTTCTTTTGTTAAGCATAGGTAGGCTTTGGTGGTTGAAGATAGATGAAGACTTGCTATCAGGTATAGTATTTTAGTGGAAATAACTTTCTAAACAAATTCCAACAGACACACTGATATAAGTAAACACAAAAATGGTCATAATAGCTGATTTTGTGCTCAAGGTAGTGCATGCTGCCCTAGGATCTCCAACTAGCACTTTCTGTGAAAGCTCACTCTCAGATGAATGTGACAGTATTCTGATGGCAGGACCATGAAACGTTATCTGCTCAGGTGTCAGGGCTCTGAGAGGTGGAGACATGCTGGTGAACAGGTCTTTAGATCTGCGTGCTGTACTGGTGACTATTGTCTGCCAAATTTAAGTGACATTTTTATCACTTTCTTGCACAGATACTAGAGCAAGCCTACACACTATTCCTAATCAATAATCTAACTTATTTACTAGCCATTTCACAAACAAAAGTTAATTCTTTTCTTTTTTCTTGTTTTGGCACTAGGAATTAAACCCAGGGGTGCTTAGCCACTGAGCCACATCACCAGCACTTTTTATATTATATTTTATTTTTTTAATATTTATTTTTTAGTTGTAGTTGGACATAATACCTTTATTTTATTTATTTATTTTTATGTGGTGCCGAGGATTGAACCCAGGGCATTGCATGTGCAAGGCGAGTGCTCTACCACTGAGTCACAACCCCTGCCTTTATATTTTGAGACAAGTCTTGCTAAGTTGCTTAGGGCCTTGCTAAGTTGCTGAGGATGGCTTTTCACTAGCAATCCTCCTGCCTCATGATTACAGGTATGAGATAACAGGCATGCGACACTGTCAAAAGTTATTTCTAGTAATTTTTTTCTTTTATAAACCATTTACATAGATTTTTTCACAATGGCATTTCAAGTGCAATGCAGCTTATTGCTAATTGGGGTCCTTGGTATGCTAGTTAACTGTCCAAGTAATGTCTACTCATGTTGAGATACTTGGCATACTTTCTAGTTGCTTCAAGGGTGCAGCTTAGTTTTAACTGGTACCTGTACATATAATGTGTGTATTGAAATATTTGAAAGTAAATCCCATAATATGGAATATGAGTTTTGTATATAGATAATAATATGTAACTTCCTGAGCTTTTTTGTTTTGTTTTGTTTGTTTGTTTTTAAACTGGCTCCCTGCCTACAACCCACCATGAAATTGTCAAGATATTTTGCTATTAAGACATTATCTAGTGGCGCTGGGGTTGTGGCTCAGCGATAGAGCACTTGCCTGACAGGTGCAAGGCCCTGGGCTCGACCTCAGCATCACATATACATAAATAAAGGTATTGTGTCTAACTACCACTAAAAAATTTAAAAAAGACATTATATAGTGCAGATTGGAAGAGAAGGTTTGTGGCAGAAGCAGTGCTCCTGTTTTGATGCTGCACTAGTGGGCTGAGTTGCTGCACTCCCAAACTCAGGGAGCTGCTACTCACTTGCTAGTGTATGTGTCCTGGAGATGGCCTGCTTGGAAATTAACAAACAGTGGGATCCTATCATTTTCCTTCTAAAACATAGTTCATTTCTACCTCTGTTCCCTTTATCCTCATCTTTGCCTGAATTATTGTTCTCTGTATTTTTCCAACTTATCCCATTCTTTAAAACCTAAGAACTTTCTGCTCTGGAAATTTCCCCTGGTTCTTTTTGTCCTGGCCAGTCCCATCATTTTTTCAAGTTTAACTAGCATTTATTTCCTCGAATTACTTATTTGATGCTTGTTTCCTACTGTGTTTTCCAGAACTGATGTCTATGTTTTAAATCATATTTTATTTTTGCACTATAGATGCTGAAGAATTTTCTACATTTGTGAATTCCAAAGCTAGTGAAGATAATATGTCTAAGACACAACCAGTTTATGAATTGGTCTCTCAATCAGCTCTTAGTGTCAGAGAAAAGGACCGAGCACATTTGGAACTGGATTCTTTTATGAGAATCTTTTTATATTGCAGGAGAGCCATGGTAATGTGATCCTTTTCATTTACTAAGGTAGTGGGTATAAATTGCAGCTTATAAATTCAGGCCAGTAAGATATATTGTATTTATTTATATAATATACATAATTTTAGCTTTAATGAGACCTCTTCCTCCTAAGCAACTTTTGAGGTTTGCCTGCTAAGGCACTGAAGTCTTACGCACTGTCAAATTGTCAGGAAGAGAAAGTATGTTCCTTTAGTCATGTGTTGCCCATCTGCCTACAGCCTAGGTGGCCTTCATGAAGTTCCTGGGGCTGTATATACACCTCTCCACTGGTTTCATACACAGGTGGGACCTGAGATCCTCTTGTGATGACATAGGCTTCTCTCTGGGGAGTACCATAGCCCTCTTTCTTTTCTCTAGAACAAAGGAAGGTCTTTCTAGGCTATAAAAAGTCTTGCCCCTACCCCAACCTCCTTCTTCTGTTCCCTTGTGTCTTCTCTTTTCTTCCTTTTAAATATTGTGTGTTAAATGGTTAAACTCAGAATCGGAATTACTAGTTATTAAAAAACAGCTTGCTTTTCATCATAGCGTGAAGAGTATATTCTTCAAACCTTCCAAGAGGTGAAGGGACTCTTTCCTGTCTAGTCAAGGAAAGAACACTAAAGTTTCCATATTCTTTATGGAGTGGAGAGTGATTTTACAAAATGCAAAGTAAACCCAAATCATTTCCCTTTGACCATGAGCATCAAATTTTATCTTCCTTTCCACAAACTTCAGGGCCTTCAAAGAGCCAAGCCCTGCTCACCTTGTATAACTCAATTCTTCTTATTTCTGCTCTTATTTAGCACACTCCTGCCTTCATGGTTCTGAACAATGACATTAAACTTTTTTTTATCTTTAGTCCTTATTTTCACCCTCCATCCTTGGTGCTTGCTGTTCCCAGAGCCTCAAATACTCTCCTCCTACCAATAAAAGCCCTACCAGTATAACCTTCATGTGACTTGTGACTTGTTCAACTCACCATTCAGGTCCCCTCTCAAATATCACACTTCCTCATAGAGGACCTCTTTCCTGACCACCTTGTCTCAAGTAACATGTCCTCTCACATCTTATCAGGTCCCTACCTACTTCTCTTTATAAAGCATATTATTCCCTGAAATAATATTTTTGCCTACTTTTCTAGTTGGTCTTCTCTAATAAGTTTAGGAAACATAAGGGGAGATCCAGTTACCCTTGCTCTACTTCTTTATTCCCAGAACCTAGAACAATGGGATTTTTGGATTCAGTCCATTCACGTGCATCTCCTCCTTCCACACTTAGTAGATTCATGACTAGGCAAGTAACCCCCATGCTTCTATTTCCTCATTTTGTAGAGTACTAGTGTAAACCTATTTTAGGAATTGTGAGAACTAAACCAGGTAGTGCATATAAATATCTTATCACAGTATCTAGCATATGAGAAGCACATAACAAATGCACTTAGTTATTTTTTGACATGTAAGATTTGTAGAAAGGTAAAGTTTTTCAGAGGACTATAACTTTTGAAACTTTAGAGTCTTTTGGACATTGTGTTTGTCTTAGGTTCTTGCTCATCGTGGTGGCTATTGGACTCTGCTTCAGAACTGCTGTCGGGCCTTTTGGAACTTTACTCAGGAGCTGCAAATACTTCTTAAACAGGCAGTAGATCTTTATAAAACATTTCCTGTTAGCCAGGATACTTTCCTCTGTATCTCAGTTTTACCATTCTATTTGGGAGCAGAATTACTTATTGACATGTTAATACATCTACAAAATATCGATTCTGTAAAGGTAAGAGCATTTGGGAAATTTTTTAAAATTGTATTTTCAATTTAAAATATCTTTTGCCATGCAGTTTTGTATAATCCAAATTGATATTTTTCTTGAGTTCCCATTGATTTATCTGTATTTCATTGCTTCTCGGTATTATTTTGCTCACAATAACTTGAATTAATATCAATGAAAAATATTTTAGCTTAAAAATTCTGTTTGTTTGAAGGGAAGGGAAGGTAACATTAACTGAGCTCTAGCTCCTACATAAACTAATCTTAATGTATTTAATCAATATATAATTCTTTTGACAGATAGAAAGGATATGGATTCCATGAGAGATAACATTGCTCTTTAGTTGACCTTTTCCACTGCTTTACCTGTTCCTGTTTTGTTAATCCAGGTCCACTAGAATTTGCAGTTTTAAAGAGTCTAGCACACTGTGTTTTAAATTACAGAAATAAAATAGAAACAATGCGAATATAAGAGATAACCAAAATGTATTGAGAATTAATAAGTATATAAACACATTGAGCTGTGAGGTTTATGATGTTTCAGAAGCAAAATATATAACAACAATAGCACAAAAGACAGAGAGGGTAAATAAAATTAATATTTAAATTTTGCATACTTCATATAAAGTGGTATGATATTATGCAAAATGTGATCAGTTAAGGATACATGCAATGATCTTCAGAGTAACTACCCAGAAGAGATATAGGTAAAAAGTCCATAAAGTAAAAGGCAAGACTAAGTAATAGTTAATGAACTTAAAAGAAAGAAGGAGGGCTGGGGTTGTGGCTCAGCAATAGAGTGCTTGCCTAGCACGTGGGAGGCCCTGGGTTCCATTCTCAGCACCACATAAAAATAAATAAATAAAAATAAAGGCATTATGTACAACTAAAAGAAATAAATATTAAAAAGAAAGAAAGAAGGAGCCAAGGAATCAAAAACACATGCCACAAATGGAAAAACAAATAGCAAATATTAAAACTAATTCAATACTATCAATAACTATATTAAATACAAAGTGGCTAAACACCCCAATTAAAAGGCAGAGATTATCTGACAGATAAAAAAGAAAGAAATATGTTCTTATCTATAGGTGAAGTACTCTGAATAGCAAGAAACAGATTGAAAATAAAAGTATGGAAAAAGATATACTATGAAAACAGCAAATATGAAAATGTAGAATAAAATGTAAGAAAAAGGTGATACTGGAATAGGCAAGCATATTTTTTATAAGACCCCTTAAAAGTACAAGAAACAAAAACAAAAATAGAGAAATGGGATTCTGTCAAACCAAAAAGCTTCTGCACAGCAAAGGAAATAAAAAGCTGAGTTAAAAGAACCTATGAAGTGGGAGAAAATATTTGCAAACTGTATGTCTGATAAGAATTATATGAAACTCAAACAACTCAATAGTATATAAAATGTTTGGAGGTACCTCAAGAATTAACCACCATGTAATCACCATGTGATCCAGCAATCCAACTACTATATATATATATCCAAAGGAAATAAAATCAGTGTATCAAAGAGACATCTGCACTTCCATGTTTATTGTAGCACTATTCAAAAGTTATTTACAATTGGAGTTTTAACAAAAGGTTAAAATATACCATTACTGATCTCTATTTTTCCCCATTTTTCTTTTCATTTTTTTTCTTTTTTTTCAATACCAGGGCTCAAACCCAGAGCCTCCCACACAATAGGCAAGCACTGTATTACTGAATGACATCCCCATCCCTTTTTACTTTATTTTGAAACAGAGTTTCCTTAAGTTACTCAGGCTGGCCCTGAACTTAGGATGCTTTTCCCTCAACCTTCTGTGTAACTAGAATTATAAGCATGCATCATTGCAACCAACTTATATTTTCAGATAGCAAAGTCTCTTCATTCTCTCATTTTTAGAATTTTATTTTTAGTATATGGTAACATCAACATAATTTATATTCTCATTCATACTGCAGCTCATTTTAATTTTTAGGATGCAAGCACAACTTAGAACTCAAAGTAAATAGCAACATTTTGAACTTGATCCCAGCTTCTTTAATTTCTCTTACCAATGAAGAGCATTAAGATAATAGGGTTGACCATATGATATTAGAGAATATAGCACAATACATTACTTTTGAGAAAATATCTACTGATATGGACTTGAAACTTTGGATAAATTCGTTCAGCATTTTTATGCTGGAAGTATTTTCAATATTGTAGCACTATTTATAATAGCCAAGAAATGGAAAAAACCCAGGTGTTCACCAGCTGATAAATGGAGAAAGGAAATGTGGTACATATATACAATGGATTCAGCCATACAAAGATGAAATTTCAGTCATCTGTGACAACATGGATAGAACTGAAGCATATTATGTTAAGTGAAATAATCTAGGCATAGAAGATCAGAAGCCATACATTCTCACTCACATGTGGAATCTAGAAAGTTGATCTCATAAAAGTTGAGTGTAGAATGATGGTTTCCCCAGCTTGGGAAAGGAGGGAAAAGAAGCAGATAAGGTCAATGGAGTACTAAAAGTTAGGAGAAATAATGTCTGTGCAATAATACTTGTATTGCACAGAAAGGTGACTGTAGACAACACTCATATACTACATATTTCAAAAAAGCTAAAAGCAAGGATTTTAAACATGCCCATCATAAATATGTATGCACCGAATAAGATTCTATTTGCTGAAATAATTTTATAGATTTTCTTTAACATTTCAAAAAAATAATCTAAAATTGGTCTTAATACCAGGAAATTCAAAGGTAAGACTTGGCAATTTTAAGGGCTGGGGATGTGGCTCAAGCAGTAGCACACTCACCTGGCATGCGTGCTGCCCGGGTTTGATCCTCAGCACCACATACAAACAAAGATGTTGTGTCCGTTGAAAAAAAAAAAAACCTAAAAAATAAATATTAAAAAAAATTCTCTCCCCCCTCACTCTCTCTCTCCCTCTCTCTTTAAAAAAAAAAGACTTGGCAATTTTAATCTTGATTTGGTAATAATCTCAGATTGCTATGGTAAAGGCTAGATATATTGTGATGCCTAGTTTTGTTAGTACCTCCAATTTTGAATTTGTCTTGGTTTTACATTTTCTTTGGTGTGAAATATTTTTATAGCCTATCAGAAATCCTAATTTTTGTTGTTTTTCTTAAAATAGGTCTGAGAATATAGGAAAAAGCAAACTCATTTGATCACTGCCTATGAGTCAGTAAGAACTCACACTCAGGGGAATTTACCACTACTTGGATATTCAACATGCAGATCTGCCTACTGAGCATTAGAGGGACATCCTTCCCAATAGATATTGTCTGTTCCCCTTAAACTACCATCTACACACCAAGCAGCTCTTTGTTGGTCAGTCAAGAGTCATTTGTAGGGCACTGTTCAAGTGAAGATAGAATCCAATCATTGCTAACACAGTTCCAGGGTTAGTCCTAAGGGAAAAGAAGCTCCCTGTTTATGAGTGTCTCTTCCTGCCTTCTCCAGGTATTTCTGTCTTATTATGGAGCTCTTTTGGGCACTGCTGTCCAAATTTGAGTGCTATTTTTGACATCATAAAAGATGTCATGGGTGTTTCAGGTTTCAAGATTTTTTCATGTGCTTTAGCAACAGAAATAGCAAGGTAGCAACTGCTCCTTGAAAGCAAATTCTGTAGTGAAAAGTCCCAGTAGTTGTGGCTGGGAAGTGATCATAGGCTTTTGCCATAAGCCGTAGTCCACATAGTATACACCGAGAGAGTTTGTCCAAACCAGATCCTGCTGTCCACTGTGTAGACTTGGGAAGTTTTTACTTGTTCCCATTTAGAATGCCCAGTTGATATTCCTTAGAAGGGTGGATTTCCATGCCTTTTAATTTACAATACTAGGTATAGGAGACATTTTCCAGTCAGATACAATGTCTATTCATTTAATAGAATCAGATAAAAAAGATGCAACCAGTTCACATGAAGCCGGTTCAGTTATAACAACTTGGTTGTAATATGTTAATTCCACAACCTTTACTTTTGTTTGAATTTTATCAACAGGTTTTGGTTTTACAAAGCTAGGTAAGAGTAATGTTCCTTAGTTAGACAAAATATACATTTACACAAAGAGTTGCACAGTATTCTACAAAAACCTGTATGTTATGCTCTCTGGAAAATCTTCTAATAATAGATATTGAAAATACATTCTGGACACCCAGAGCTTCAAGAGCTTCCTGGTAGTTGAACACATTGATGCATCAGCATGATAGCATGGCCTGATTCCGTGGGGAGAGTGTTTGGAAGCTCTGCATCTCAGACCCTCCCAGATCTCGTCCTGTGTATCTTCTCATGTCACTGTTCCTGAGTTGTATGCTTTGTAATAAAGCTGTAATCATAGTGTAGTGCTTCAAGTGAGTTCTATGAGTTATTTAGTGAGTTTTCCACCCTGAAGGTGTAATGAACATGTGATTTTATAGCTGAGTTAGAAGAGCAAGTGACCCTGAGACTCGTGGTTGAACAGAAGGCAGTATTACGACACTGTTTCTGGATAAGGTCATAATTGAAGTGCAATATATCCACATAGAATGGAAATAGCACAGTGTCTTTGTGTATTCATCAAATTGGATCATTATGCAGAGCCCAAAACAATAAGTCTTAATAAAAGCTGAAAGACTGAAATCTTTGTTGACCACCACAGAATTAAATTATAAGTAGATTGCCACATATATAGGAAGAAAAATCTCCAAATATTAGGAAATTAAATACTGCACTTCTAAATAACCCAAAGGGGGAAACAAACCAAGGGAAATTAGAAAATATTTTAAACTGATGATAGTATATCAAAGTTTGTGGGATTCAAATAAGGCAGTGCCTTTATAGCTTTATAGAAATAAGGAAGTGATAACCTCAGTTATCTAAGTGCCCATTTATAGGAGTTAGAAAAAGAAAAGCAAATTAACTCCAAAGTAAGTAAAAAGAAAAAAGGACATAAGAAGAAATGAAGAAAATGATAAGAACAGAAAGCAATTCGATATAAAGCAAAACAAAAAGAAACTTGGAGATAATTAATAAGGTCAAAATGAATCATTTGAAAAGATTATTAAAGGTGGAATACTCCCAAGAACAAAAAATGAGAAAGCATAAATTATTGCTATCAGTAATAAAAGAGGAATATAATGATAGACACTATGGATATTAAAAGAAAAATGAATATTAGATTAATTTTTACTAAGGAAGTTGACAAGTTAGATGAAATGGACACATTTATTGGAGAGTACAAGAGCAACAAATCTTGCACAAGAAGAAATAAAAAATATGAACTACCTAAATATATTAACAAGAAATTAAATTCAAAATCAGAAACCTTCACATAAGGAAAACTCCAGACTCAGGATATTTTCCTAGAGAAATTTCAACAAAAATACATGGAAGAAAAAATAAATCTTACACCAGATTTTATTCAATATAAAGCCAGCTTAACCTTGACAGATACATAAACAAGAAAAATGTGAATTAATATTCCTCATGAACAGGCAAAAACTCCTTAATTAAATGTTAGCAGACCATTCCCCATAATATATGAAGTATGCAAATAATGATATAATATATACAAATATCAAAATATGCAAATTATGATAAAGTAGGGTGTATTCTGGAAATGTAAAGTTAATATTTAAAAATAAATCAAAGTAATTTACCATATTTTAACAAGATAAAGGAAAAAATAATATGACTATTGAAATAAATACAGTAAAAGCATTTAGAAAGCTCAGTATGCATTAATAAAAAAAATTTAAAAATTCTCAGAAAACTAGGAATAGAAAATATCTTTTGCCACCTGATAAAGAGTATCTACAGATAACATCATGGTTAATAGTGAGATATTCCTCGTTTCTCCCTAAGATTTTTGAACAGAGCAAGGATGTCTGCTTATTTCACTTTTATCAAACCTCATGTTAGAGATCCTGGCCAGTGCAATAAGACAAACTAAACAAACAAAAGAAACATAGATCAGAAATAAATAAATAAAAATACTTTATTTGTGTATATGATATATGTTTTTTTAACATAGAGAACTCTAACTTCCCAGGACTCTACAAAGTAACTATTAGAACTAATAAATAACATAGTAGGATAGAAGTTCAATATATAAAAATAAATGAACTTCTGTATACTAGCAGAAAACAATTTGAAAATAAAATTTTTAAAATAATGCCCTTTATAATATCATCCAAAATTTCAGATATCTAAGAATATATCTAATGAAACTTGAATAAGAGTTTTACTATTATTGTTTTTTTGCTACTTTTCCTCTCCTGTGCCTGGGTTCTTCTTAACGGTGTCACTGGGATAGGAATACTTGGACTTAATTTATTCAACCATTTGGAGTTATTTCCTGGCCCTTAACCTGATTTAAGAAGCTTTGCTTTCTTTGCCTAAAGAGTTTTCAGAGAAATGCACAAATACATCAGGGACTCATGGGAAATGAACATAATATTGTAGTTAAAATAATAACACCTTATTTCAGACAAAAAGAGTGCCTTCTAGAAGATTTACTTTTTTATAGGTTTGACCTTTACATCAAAGAATTATATATAACATTTTGCAAGTTAATGCACAAAACTTTATTGTTCATTATTACCTTATTATTTATTTTTAAAACTTAATTTTCCTGAAGCTTTACCCTATTGGTTTAATATCCTTACTTAAGTGGATGTTGACTGTATAACAAGAAGTACAGACCTCAAACTATGTTGTCTAACATAGGAAACATTAGTGATACTATTTAAATTTAAGTTGGAAATATTTAAAATCAAGTAAAATTAAAAAATCACATTTCAATAGTTCAGTAGACACGGGTCTAGTGGCTATATTGGAACTATATTGAAAAACACAAATATAGCACATTTTTCATATTACAGCATATTGGACATTACTACCAATTCAAATTATCAAGCTTTTATTTGAATAAAAGGAAGATTTAAAATTTTCTATTCAGTTCTTTTTCATATTATATTATCAATTTCATTTCTCAGAAAAAAATGTAGTAAAATATGAAATGACACATTTTTTTTCCAATATGTTACTTGCAATTTATTATTTTTTTTCCTGTTAGTGGGGATTAAACTTGGGAGTATTCAATCACTGAGCTATATCCTTAGCCCTTTTTATTTTTCTTTATTATTATTATGATTTTCTACTTGCAGTTCATTGAAGACAAAGGAGAGTTCATTGTTCCAAGCTGTTATGGGAATATTAAACATGATAATGGTGGTTCTAGCCTTTCTTTTGAGCATCCTTTGGATGATGTAAATGTGGTTGATTTGAAATGGATCCATGACTTTGTATTAAAATCTCTGGAAGTTTTATATCAAGTGGAAAAATGGGAAACACTAGTATCGCTTGCCATTCAATTCAACATAATTTCACAGTACGTATTACTACTATATGGGCAATAAAAAAAAAACAGAGTGCATTAGAGTAAAAGTCTTTTTAACTAACGTTTGCTTTTTAATGTATTCTTTACTTCTGTCTAGTGAGAGGTACACAGAGCAGGTGACACCACTTCTGGTATATGCACAGCGCCAATTGCTTCTGAGAATACAGAAGTTCAAGGGCCCAGATATTACCCAGCAAGCTTGTGCAAGATATGAGGCCGAGTATGGAGAGAAGGTAAGTTCTGCCCTATTATTCCTACAGTTGTGATTTTTAAAATTAGTACTTACATAAAAGACAGATTTAGGAATCAGATAAATTTTATTTTCACTTAGGCATTTATTATTAAAATCAACAAATGTTATTGAAAATCTGCCAGGAATCAGTATTTTCCAGGTAAACAGAAATTAAGTTCTTGTTCATGAGAAGCTTATATTCCGGTCAGGGCTGACTTTTTGTTAGGCACAATGGGACAGTGTCCAGAGCCCATGATATTTTTAGGGGCCTACTAAAAATTCTTTTTTTGATTTCTTTAAAAATAAGAAAAAAGTAACACTAAGAAAATGTTTTAATTCTCTACTATTAGTATTTTTCTACTTAAACCAATATAATCATAAAATGTAATTTTTAGTATATGTATTTTTTTAATGGAGGAATGGGTAAATGCAGAAAATACCCAAGGCCAGTGGAAATCATGGTATAGTTGGAATCAGATGGAGGAAAGAGATAAGTTGATTGTTTAACTAAATTTAACAAATAGGTATTGACTACCTAATCAGAACCAGTGCATACAGGTGTACAGTGTGTGTCCTGCTCAGAGGCCATGATATATATGGGACTGGAACCTTGTCCTCCATGTCCACAGCTGTCTGTGGGCTTGGGCTGTGGCCTTCCCCCAGCAAGGACTCCATTTTCTGCTCCTCACAGTTTCCTTCTGGCCCACTGGAAGCCTTGCCTTTTGCATATTCTATGCGGGGGAGAATACAGTCTGAGTTCCTGCTTCGTGGAGTTTAATTTCGGAGGAGTAGGGATGGGGCCAGATAATAACATGCAGACAGCTAAGCAGATCTATGATCATTCTAAATTCTCTGAAGAAAATAACATAGGTCAATGGGATAGAGATTGGCTTGGGTTAGGGGTGGAAACTGAAGCAAGGGTGATCAATAAGACGCCTTCCACATGGTGACATTTAGTGGGAAGGAGCCAGCCATGCAAAGATCTAGAGAAGGATCCTTGCAGCCCCAGGGAAGAACAAGGCCCTGAGATAGGACGGAAGGAGACTTACTTGCTAGCTGGGATGGAGCAGATAATAGGGCCAAAGGAAGGGTTGCCCCTTGTAGGTCGGCTTTGTTACTGCTTCCTCTTCTTCTCTATGTCTTAATGTAATGTGCCCAAGACTCTGTTCTCTGACCTCCTGTCTTCTCTATCCACACACTCTCTCTCAGGAAGTTAGTTCCACCTGTGGCTTTAAGTACATTTTTATGACGATAACTATTGAAATTACATTGCAACTCCAGACCTTTCTTCTGAATTTTATGATGATATATCTTAAGTGCCTTTATCAAAAAGTTTCAGGTTTTGAACAACCAATAAAAAAAAAAAAAGTTTCAACCACAGAAGCAGAACTAGTATATCAGAACTAGTATATGTCTCTCTGGATTTATTATATGGGATTGGCTTATATGATTGTAGGGATTGGCTAAGCAGGTCCAAAATCCATAGAGCAGGCCATCAGGAGCATGAACAGGAGGCATGGACAGATGCTGTTTTTCACAGACAGTCTGTGAGGCTAGAACAGTCATAGGCCCCATTCATGTTTGTTATTTGGAGTCCTGGTAATGGCTGGCTTGTCAAGAGCTGATTGGATTAAGACAGGCCCACCAAGGATAATCTCCCTAATGTAAAGCCAGTTAATGAGGGATTTTAGAATCTGCCAAATCCCTTTACAGAGCACCTAGGTATTTGATTGAAGAACTGGGATGAGGTGCAGATATGTTACAAAAAGGATGCCTCCCTTACTTTCCCCTCATAGTTTAGCTCTAACTATTTGATCCACAAAAAAACTGTCAGATTATAGCATTTTCAGGAAAATGGATAGAACTTGAGAACATTATGTTAAGTGAAATAAGCCAAACGTAGAAGGTCAGCAGTCATGTTTTCTCTTATATGTGGAAGCTAAAGAAGAAAAAGGAAAAGAAAAGTGAGTGTGTGTGTGTGGGGTCTCATGAAATAGGGAGATCAGTAGAATAGAGAAAAGGAACCAGAGGGAGGCAGGAAGGGAGGGAAAGGGGAATGCCAGGGGGTGATATTGGCCATATTATATTGTTATATTGCATGCATGCAAGAATATGTAACAACAAATCCCACCATTATGTAAAACTATAATACAGCAATAAAAACTATGGTAGAAAAAAGTACCCCCGCCCAACCCATCACACTACCCGAGTATTAACAGCATCTCTTAGATGTTTAATACACTTCTTAAATTTAGCACATCTCAAACAAACCTGTTCTGCCAAGTCTTCCCCAGTTGGTGATTACCCGTCCTAGATGCAAATTGGTTTTCAAATCTTCTGCCCTCAAAATATAGTCAGAATAGGACTATTTGCTATCTCTACTACTACTCCTCTGATCTAATTATTATCAAATGTATGGAATTAAACCAAGGGGCGTTTACAACTGAGCCACATCCTCAGCCCTTTTTATTTTTGAGACAGAGCTTCATAGGTTGCTTAGGGCCTCACTAAATTGCTGAGACTGGCTTTGAACTTGCTATCCTCCTGCCTCCAGCCTTCAGAACCACTGGGATTACAGGCATGTGCCCTCGTGCCCAGCTCCTTGTTATATTTGCTTGGGCTAATGCAGTGACTTTCTCATTACCTTATACCACTACCTCTAGGAATGCAGCAGACAGAATAACCTTTTAAAAACCCAACTCAGGCAAGTTACACTTTGGCTTGCTCTTCTATGGCGGCTTACTATCTGACTCGGAGTAAGTGAAAAGCTTTACCATGGCCTTAATATAACTGTCTTACATAATTTCTCCCTCTGTGATTTGTAGTAACTCGTTTCCTATCACTTCCCTGCACTGCTCTTTTAAGACATGCCTGCCTCAGGGTCTTTGCATTTGCTCTCACCCCTTCGAAATGCCCCTCTCCAGATTTCCATGTTGATTCCCCCCTCACTGTTTTCCAGTCTTTGCTGAATGTTCCCTTCTCTTTTGAGGCCTTTTCTTACCCCTGTCTTGAAAATTATATGCTGTTTTTCTCCATTTCTCTCAATAGCAGTTATAACTCTTTAAAATGCTATACAATGTGTTTCACCCTCTTGTTTGTTTCCTCTCTTCTCCCACCAGAATAAGTTTCTTAAGACTAGGAATTTTTGTTCATTTTGTTTCTTTCTATCTCATCCCTTTAGCTTGGAACAGTGTTTGGCACATAATAAGTGTTCAATAAAGATCTGTTTAGTGAAGGTGGAAAGGTGGGGGAGAACCAGGTCCTACATGTCCTTATTAGACTGTGGGAAGTCATTTGCATTTACTGGAATGTTTGCATCTCATTATGGAAATACACACAAGGGACATTAGACTGGGGTTCAAAGAGGGATGTATTTTGAGTGATAGGTTAGCTGACAGGATGGGAGTGAAAAAATAGAAGAATAAATTCAAGATTCATTAAAAGAATTCCATTCTGTCTAAAAATTACATGTTGCAGATTTTTAAATTTGAGAACTCAAATATCTGTCAGAAAATAAATTGTCAAAATAATACAAAGGAGGGGCTAGGGTTGTGGCTCAGTGGTAGAGCACTTGCTTAGCATGTGTGAGGCATGGGATTCAATTCTCAGCACCAGATAAAATAAATAAATAAAATAAAGGTATGTGTCCATCTACAACTCAAAAAAATAATAATAACAATACAGAGGAAGTTAATTTTCATCTGGAAAGTTAAAATTGCATTAATTATGAGTAGACTAGAAAAATATGCTATTGGAATAGCAGCTGATATTTTAAATATATTTCAACTTACATAATAGTAGATATATTTAGACTAGTAAATTTATAAAATATCATAAAATCATACTCTAATTGCTCCACATAATTTGCCTAATATTCTGCTTCCAGCTGTGCTGTACAAAAGAAATATGAAAAATTATGCAGCCACATTTCTCCCCAAAATTCTCATGAATGAATGCTATTCTATCAACTTTTCTTTGTAGCATTGTTTTGTGTCTCTTTATTTTGACAAGTGAAAAATGAGATAAACATTTCAAGTAAGCCACATTTTTAAATATGAGTACTTGATTAATTCATATTTTTTTCCCTTCTTCTTAAAGATTACCTGCCGAAATTTCATTGGAAAGCAGCTCAAGATTGATCCTTCAATCAGTAAGACAATAGATATAGGGGATGGTACAAATTTCCTACAAGTGATTATCTATTCAGGTTAGAATCTCTTTTAGCTTGAATCTGTGTTTTCTTTAAATCAGGGTTTGCCATTCTTCCCCATGTCAGATATTCCGTAATTAGGATATCTGTAAGAATATCTTTTGCTAGTTTATTTGAAAAAAAATCCATTTGATATTTACCATTTTATATTGCTATAAACGTCAGGGGAATTAAAGCACTTTTTAAAAAGTTTGACCTTTTTTTGTAAGCTAGAGAAACAAAAGAAAAAGGAGATTGATGGGGCTAAAAGAGATGGAAAAAAGCTGTTTTGCACATTTTCTGCTGTTTTTGTCTCACTGGGGAACTCTTGCTATTTGACCTTTTTCTGTTTTCTTTGTTCTGTCTTGACTTCCATAATTTCCTTTGCCATGGTCAATATAGGTTGTTCTGCTGGCTTAAATCTGTTCAGTTCTTGGTCTTTTAACTAGAGCACAGAAGATTTGGGAACATCATGCCTTGTTTGTGCTTAGCTGATAAGCCCTTGCAGAATGTTTTTGGCAGTGCAACTTGTAGGAATGAATCTATAGAGTAAGGTGAAATGGAAACGACGCTTGCTCTGTATTGTATTTTTTATGTGTCTTCTGTTTCTGGCTTTGGAAGAAAATGTAAGTCTTTGAAGTGTTAGGATTTTTTTCACTTTACCTCTTGTTTTATAGTTGTACATGTGAATATGTGTAGTCATTCATTCACTCATTCATTCATTCATTTATTGAATCAGCCAGCCAGCCATTCAGTTGTTTAGCAAATATTTCCTGAGTATCTACTATGTGTTAAGTGCTGTACTAGGTACTAAAGATACAGAGATGTATGTGTTATCTAGGAGTTTAGAGTTGTTGAAGAAGAATTAAAGCACATAAATAAACCAGAGGTGATATAGAGAGTGATAGTTCTGTGATATTATTCCTGCTGCTGCTACGGCAGTAATAGTGAACAGTTTGTATCTGCTTTTGAGAGACTGCAAAAAGACAGAAAGCTGAGGTTAGAAATGTTGGCAGGAATTAGGAGATAAAGTGTCTTAGAGAGCCAGATAAAGAGATGCAGATTTGTCTGGAGAGCTGAGGGGAACAAGTTAAAAGGATTTAAAGAAGGAAAGTGAAATGTTCATATTCCCATTCTTAAAAGGGTTGGCAGTAATGTGGAAAATCAACTGAAAGGCTATGTGGAAGTAGGAGACTGGCCACGCTTAACTTGGGTATTCAAGTGGACATTATAATGGCCTAGAATTGGACAGAGTAGAGAGGAGAACAGAAATGAAAGAAAGGGGGAGGGAGACCCTAGGCCTGTGTCCGGTACTGACTGGGTATGGGGGATGGATCAGGAGGGAGGAGTTCCAGTTGTCATGCTCTCTGGCTTGGGGGCTAGACTGGAGATGCCTTTGCTTAGATAGGGAAACTGCAGGCAGAGAAAAGCGACTTTGGAGCATCCCGTTTGCCTGGATGATAACTGAGCAGAGCTCTCCAGCATGTGGTTGGTTATATTGATGGGGCCTGTGGAGGAGAGTTAAATTGGACATCTGTATTTAAGTCATCAATATCTTGATGGTGGTTGAAGTCAGGGACTTTGATGAGGTCACCCAGAGTGGATTATGTGGAGTGTAGACCTGAGCAACACCAACAGTGAGGAAGCTGTCAATCAAAGTAGGCTGGGGCTAGAGAGCCCTAACAAATAGCCCCAAGTCTCATAGCTTTTACACAAGGGCAGGACTATCTCTGGCTCATGCTACTGTGTTCAGTGAGGTTGAGAACTGGCAGCTGCCCATGATGAGGTCATGTCCACCTTGACGTGGCCTGAACAGTTGCTTCCCAGTCAGGAAACAGAACTCTGATGTTGCCCTCCCAGGGAGCTCCACTGAGAGGCAGTAGTGAGTGCTTCTGGGCACAGCCTCACCCAACCACACGTGTGTTTGATGGTAAGAGCTTTACATGGATTCTCTTATTATTTATTATAACCATCCCAATAAAAGAATCACAGTCATGCACTGCACATCAGGCACACTTACAAAGGCTTTGTGAATATTAGCTTATAGCCAACTAATGAGATGGGTTTACTGTTTCTGTTTTTCAGACAAGAAAAATCATGCATTGGCTCTTAGAGCTGCTACTAGAAAGTGACACATGTCATGTCTGCTGACATTTCATTACCCAAAGTTGCATGGCTACACTCCAACTCAAAGGGGTAGGGAAGCATGTCCTGACTCTGTACTCAGAATGAAGAGGCAGAGCATATGTGAAGAGAATCAATGCCCGTCATGGGAGCAAACAAGAGCAGTATGTGAGAGAGCTGGGGACATGGACTGAGAAATAAACCAGAAGAGAGTGATAGAGACAAGGCCAAGGCAAGGGAGAGCTTTAAGGAGGAGGAAGCAGTCGGCAGGCAGAGAGGTTGTGTCAGATGGGGACTGACAGTCTTATTGTATTGGGCAAATGGGTGGTCATTGTCACTTGCCTTTTTGCTGGGGCACCCCCACCTTGCTTGAGCTGTTTCCCCTTCCTGAATGCTCTCCCCAACACCCAGATGTCTGATTATATATAAACCCCTCTCTCCTTTCACTCCTTGTGTTCATCTCCTTTTTCAACAAGGCCCAGCTTGACCATTCTATTTGAAACTTCACCCTGCCTACTTCCTGCCAATTCCCTTTGCACTCTTCTTTCCCCTCCCATAGCATCATACTGTTTAATTAAGGATTTTTTTTGTTGTATTTATTGGTCACTAGTCTGTTTCTCCTGTTAACGTGTAAGCTGTATGAGGGCAAGGATCATTGTTTTGGTCACTGAGACAGTTTGAATGTCTTCATCAGTAAGAGTGAGAACCAAAGAGAGAGGAGAGAACCTGGAAGAAATGCAGAGCTCAGAGGGTCCGGGAGGCTGTGCTTTGTATTTTTCATGGAAGAGAAGGAGCTTATTTAAACACTAAATGGAAAGAGCCAGTAGAGAGGGTGAGCTTAGAAAGTGGAAGATTTTTGATAGAGCTAGGACCCTGAGGAGAAACAAGGAAGGAAATGGGATGCAGACAGAAGGATGGGATGCTCCCCTGAGGGCAGAGAGGAAGGATGAGAGAATTAGCTTGATGCAAGAAGGTTTGTAGGTAGTAAGGGTAGAAGTTGAAGGTATTCTCATGGGAACTGGGGATTTTCTTAATGAAGCAGGAGCTTGAGAACATAGCCAAGGTTGCTAGGTGGGAGGTTTTGAATATTAAAAAAAGGAGACTGGCCATTAAGAAAAATAGAAGGGAAGGGAGAAGGGTCAGAGAGCTATGTAGAGTGGAGTGGAGTGCAGTTGGTAACCATAAACTCTGTAGGTTTTACTGCCAGTGATCAATCATATTACCAAGGGGAGGACAACCTTCTTGTGGTCAGTCCTGTGTGACTAGTTTTAATGATAGAGTGTGATGCTGGCTGTGTTCTCCTTGTCTTGATTTTGTCTGTAGAACCCCAGGAGTCCCCTTGCTTTTGGGTCCTTCCTCAAATATATAATTATTTTTTATCCTTTCCATTCTGGAGAGGATTGCAACTAATGTGAGTAAATGCATCAAAATGGTTGTTATCAAAATGGTGACTAGCAGCAAAGGAATAAGAGAAATATACCTAGCAAAATTCTAGCCTGTGCACCAGGGCTTTTTTTTTTTTTAAACTGATGATGGATGCACTGTGTCAGCAAAGCTTTGCTTGCTTCTTGTTAGAGCTACATTTGGTCAGGCAGGGTGTGGAGGTGGGACAGAAGGGAAGGTAGGTGCAGTCAGTATACAGTCATCCTTTGAGTTATTCTCAACTGTGGATGAAGTATAGCCTGTGTGTCTTCTGATTAGAGCAGAAACATTTGAAGAGAGAAGAATGTGAAATATTGTAAGGGCAATATAATATCAAGCTGGAACTATATTTAGATTCTATAATTTTTACAGTCTTGGGAGGTAGGTATTATTTTGCTCGAGTTGCAGATGAGAAAAATAAACTGGGTCTGTGATTTGAATTCTGGTCTGTCTAATTGCTCCACTCACTAGTGATCCTCTGAGCTACCAAGTCCATTTGTCATTGCTCCTTTCATTTAGAATCTTCTCTAAATTTATAGCATCCAAGAAGTAATTTGATGTATTTCAGTGGTCATATGGGGCAGGCACTTTATTCTGACTTATTGTAATAGCAGAGTAATGTTCAGATGACCCTGTATACTAATTATACATTTTACATTGAACAGTTAAAAACTTGGCTTCCAACTTGTAGCTCTTTATAAGACTCTAGGACCTCTGTAACTGGAAACATCTTTTGGCCTATGCTTTTGAGTTTATTTAGCAAATTATTGGGATGCTGAATTTTTCTCAATATACTAAGCTCAGATCATTAACATATTTATAAGTGTGTTGGGTCTTATGTATGTCACCGTGATGTGTATGCAATTCTTTTAAAAGACTGACTATACTCATGGTGATTTCCACACCAGCTCGCTGCTGTAGAACCTCATAGGTTTTCTTTTGTCATAACAGCATTTGGTGGTAATGCTTGATACATTCAATTCTTCACGGCAGATATTGTAATGCCCCAGTGGCTAGGAACATTTGGTGTTCTCATTATTTAACAGCATCCTATTCTCCCTTCAACTATTTAATAATGCATATGTAATTTGGTATCGTCTCTGTAGGATTTGGAGAAGTGAGAGTACCACGTTTTATAGATTATTCCTGTATGGATGAGTAACTTTCCTGCTTGTTAAGCTCCACAGGGTAGATAAACCTGGATATGCCTTTTATTATAACTGTTTTTGCATTCCACCTGGAGTCTCTTTCTTGAGTTTTGACCTTATTAGTATTTAAGTTCTCTGAAAGGATCATTCAGTCCTCAGGTCTGTTGAAATTTTCAACTCTTTGTCAGGTGTGTTTTATTAAGGCCTTTGATTGTGGAAATGACCAAGTGTGTAGAAAGCAGCCCCAAATTTCAGACCACTCCCTGGGTTCCCACCCTGGTTGGCCCAGCCCTGAGGAATCATTGGTATTTCAACTTTTGTTTTTACATTGGTACAATGTAAAACATAATAATTCCTTCCTTTTCCATCTTGTGCTGGTCCTCCTTACCTGTTCCAAACTGTGAAGGTGCTACTACTAGTACCTTTGGAATAGCTTTTTGAATTTTCTGTCCATTGGCATTTTCAGAAAGAAGTTCTGAACTTCTGATGCTTCCTCTTTGCTTTATACCACCCCTGACAGAACCCTAATTAGGCTTCAAGAGAAAAGATATGCTAGGGCTTGAAAAAACGGAAAGATAGTTTAGAAAAAAAACAAGAAGAGTTATAGGCAGATATTTGATACAGAGATAGCTGGACAATTTTCTCCAGACTATTTTTATTATAAATAATATTTCCAGGTTTTATTCTAGAATGTAAGCTTTGTGAGAGCAGCAGGGGCCCTGTCTATTGTGTCTGCTTGTGTTTCCTCAGTGTCTGCCGTGGTATCTGGTACTCCAAAGTGCTCAATATATGCAGTCACGCTCAATGGCAAGAATATGCCACTGCACAACCTCATTGTTATATGAATGCCAGAGTGTGCTTACACAAACTAACATAGCTATGAGTCAGTAGGTGATATGATCTTGTGGGACCATCATCACATACATGAGCTGTCCATAAGCAAAACGTCATTATGTGGCACATGACTATATTTTAAAAAGATATGACTATGCTGGGCGCGGTGGTTCATACCTGTAATCCCAGTGCCTTGGGAAGCTGAGACTGGAGGATCACGAGTACAAAGCTAACATCAGCAAAAGTGAGGCATTAAGCCACTCAGTGAGACTCTATCTCTAAATAAAATACAAAATTGAGCTGGGGATGTAGCTCAGTGGTCAAGTGCCCCTGAGTTCAATCCCTGGTTCCAAAAAAGAAAAAAAAAAAAAAGTGACTGGCAGTCATAATGTGAGCCTCTATCTATTGAGTGTTTACTCCATGGCGGGCACTATACTAGATGCTTCACAAGTGTGTTAAAACAATGTTTAAAGCTGGAGAAAGTAATTGTCTCATTAATATGTGAGAGTTTCCAGTCTTCCTCCTTTCCTGTTGCTCCCTGCTGAGGGCTGAATATCTATGGCTCCTCAAAATTCAGATGTTGAAATCGTAACCAATGTGATGTGTTGTTAGGATGCAGGGACTTGGGCGGTGATTAGATCATGAGGGTGGAGTCCTCACAGATGGGGGATTAGTGCTCTCTCTAGCCCCCTTTCTGCTATGTGAAAGAGGCACAGTGAAAAGGAAACCAGCTGCAAACAAGGGAGAGAGACTTCGCCAGAACCTAGCCTTGTTGGCACCTTAGTCTAAGACCTCCAGCCTCCAGATCTGTGAAAAGCAATTTTTTGTTGTTCATAAACCGTGTGGTCTGTGGTAATGCATTTACAGCAGCCTGAGCTAAGATGCTTTTAAATCTTCTTTCTCTAAGGAAAAAAGACAAAAATCCAATCTTGTGATTGCTTACAATTTGAAAAACAGAAAAACAGACCTCTTTCTTTGGCCTAAGAGACCTTCCATTTGGACACCTTCCACGTGTTCTTTGTTATTCTAATTCTGAAACTGGCAATTCCTTTCTCTCCTTCTTCTTGGTGTATGCTGCAAACCTGGAGTCTAATTCCCAGGATCACCCCTCGCTCCCCAGAAACCTCTCAGCAACCTACCATCTCCTCTTCCTGGAACTTTTCAAGGCAGCTGGTTGGTTCCGGACCCACCCACCGCCCCCATGCACCTTTTCCTTTGCACCCTCAAGTCTTAGGAACCTGTCTTTCCCTTCCCTTCAGAGAGCAGTTGCCTGTCTCTAGGATTCTTTGTTTCCTCCTTTAGTCTCTTTCCCAAGGTACCTTTGCTTTGAAGAAGTTTGCTAAAAAAAGGAGTAGATTATTTCATTTTTTATGATCAGTGAAAGAAAAAGTAGGAGGCTTCATAAGGAAATTGACAAGATCTAAAGTTATTTGCATTTCATAAGAATCAGAACTTTCCTAAGTTTCTTTTTAAAAAAAGAACTTTCAAAGATACCAAAAGAAAAAAAAAATGACCTGAATGTTGCTGATCTGGGGACTTTGAATTTAGCAGCTTCAGGTTGGGACCAAGAAATCAGAGCCTTCTTTGCTTCTAGTTGGCTCTGTGCCGAGTTTCATCCCCAGCGTCCCCTTCTTTTTCCTTCCAGAGTATAACAGAGCCAAACAGATCATCTGTGTGCCCGTGGATGTGACAGACACTTTGAGATGCTTTAGAGAGACCCTGGAAAAATCCAAATACCATAACAGATCAATCCGACACAGCAGAAAGTTGCTTTCATTATTTCTGGCACAGACACAAGGTAATTGGTGGTTTCATGTCCCTGGATCTGGTTTCATGACCCCTTCCCCACTAACATCCCACCCCCTGGCTGCCTTTCCCTGTCTTCCTCTTGTCTAAAGGATCTAGCAAGATCCTTTCCTTCTACACTTCATTCCCACTATGGCAATTTCTCACTCACCTGCTTTTATGCTTTCTGAGAAACTAGCCAACTCCTTGGAAAACATGTGGAATTAATATTCATTAATTATCTGATGCTGTACATTGTTGTCCTCACAGTTGCCTTTGCAGGTCTAGGACTGTGTTCATGTTCTGCTTCCATTACTGGATGGGTAAGGCATACTGAGTTAACTAGAACCTTTTACCAAGGACCATTTCACCCATTTCAAAGAAATGGGTGAATTTTAAAATAAGCACCATTAAGACCTCTTACTAATCCCATAAATTTTCATCTTAGAGTTTTCTTTTAGCTTAGAACCAGATATTCACTATTATTGGTTATATTATGTTTACTCATTTTCTTCCTTATCAACATTTATCGATTTGTGAATTCAATCAAGGCAGGGCTTTGAGTGGGTAGGTGGTAAACTCAAAGAACAGTGTAAAATTTAGACTGAGAAAAAAATCCTGAACTATCTATACTTAGGTTATTTTAAGACTTTAAAACTTTGACTTATATTTATGCCCTTTGCTGCTCAAATTTATCCAAGTAATGAGAATAAACTCACAGTAATTATATTCTGAAGCAATTAAAATAGATTTAATTTACACCCCTTAAATAACTTACCTTTTAGAAATTTGGTCAGTTGTTTTTACAACCACGAACAGAGTTTTATCTATTTATTTATTTATTTTTACTGATTTGCTTGTTATATTTTTGGCCACCCCTTAATCTCCCAAGAGCATTCCTTTTAAAAGTATGCCAAATTTTTGGAGGTATTGTCTGCAGACTCACATTATGTTCAACTATCCCTCCAGATTTCCTTTACCTCCTTTCAGTTACTCTATACGTTAACAATGGGTAAGGCATAGAGTAAAAAAGGAAATTCATTCCTAAAAATGATTCTGTTAATTCACCCTGAATCTCACCTTGTACTAAAATATTCTCAGTAGTTTATCCCCAGTCCTCAGGCTGTGGACTTCAAAATCCATATTAGCTTTTCTCTCTGCTACTTTGACTATTTCCCTGAAATTTTTTTTTCTCTGCTTTTCCCTGTGTGTTTTCTGATCTTAAAAAGAGAGAGGGTTTTTTTTTTCCCCCATTTTTTTTCTTTCTTAGGCCAGAACTATGTAAGAGTTGACTCTATCCCAAAGGTTTCTGCCCCAGGGGCAAATGAACATCTTACTGTCTGAAGTTATTAAAAAAAAGACGAACTCATACTGTGTAACTTCCCCCAATTCCCCAAAGCATGATCTTAACATTAGCTTTCTGGTTGACTGGCCCTTTGTAGTTCTCTTTATGAAATAACAAGGGTATAGAGCCCATCCTCCCACACCGGGGTGTCTTTAAAAGATGATACTGGATACCAAGTTTAGGGAAAAAGTGTCCCTCAAACTGCGAATAATTCCCATGTGTATGCAAAATCTTTTCTTCCCTTTCAGTTTCCTCTACCCTTTCCCTCCCCATCCGTTTCCTTCCTTTCACCATTTTAAATTTTGTTTCCACAAATTTAGGAGATAGAACAGGAATCAACAATTTAAAACTCACGCCTGGGAAGGTGGAATTTTGTCTGGGAACAGAAGAGATGCACATGTCAACACCTCCTAATCTTTCTCAGGAGCACTTCAGAGTTTTTAGTTCAGTGGAGAAAAGCAAACTTCCCTATTCACAGCTGGGATTGGTAATTTCTTCTTATCACCAAAGTATTGGTAAGGCTAACCCATTGTGTATGCATTTTCTATATGGCCTTCTGAATTAATAGTGAGATTGCATCTGGTCCTGAGACGTTACCCTTGGAAGTAGCTCGAAAGATCTTGAACATAGAGTCGATTTATCACACTATCATAGGCTGTGACACAACAGTCTGAATACAGAAGATACTTTCAGTCTCCTCTTGTGACCCACTTTCCCAGCCTGGTTGTCATCCTTGTGAGATTCTAAGCCATCCTTCTGCCCATCCCTCTTTAATAGCAACTGTGAACACCTTGTGGGGAGGGGGCCCTTATATATGCTTTTTCTTGGTCTCAGATGAGTTTATTTTCCTTTTTTGGCTTTTCTACAAATTCAGTAATATATTCTCAACCTATATTGTAGACCCAATTTGCTCTTTTTGGACAAAACATCAGTTATATGTTTTATGATTCTCTTTCCCCTTATATTTTACTGAAGTAAAATTTATATTTATCACATTCTACCTACATATACATTTCTAACAACAACAACAACAACAACAAACCCAATCAAACAAACAAACAAAACAACAACAACAAAATCTTTATGGGGCTTTAAACATCACCAGTTAGGGGTTATAGTGGTCTCCCAGAAAGGAGAAAGAGGACCTCAACTGCACCCTTGCAGGTTCTTGACTTAGGCTGCAGAAAGGAATTTCAGGATGTATAAAAAAGACACAAACAAAGATTTATTCATGAGAGCAATGCTGATTCAGGCATGCATCAATAGAGCAGGACACACTCTCAAAGGAAAGAATGTAGGTATGGAAAGTAAGACATGAATTTGGGGTCTTGGGATCTTCTTTTTAAATCTGTTTTAAAAGCCATTTTAATAAACTCTCCCTGATTCTGATTATTAACTATTTATTATACCTGTAGTTCATAACACCTGTAGTATTTTGATACAAGGTTTGACAGAATATCAACAGCATGAATGAAAGGGGATTGGACAGATGAAGTTTTGGGTGGGGAAATAAATTGATTCTGAAGGGGAATAACCATAGTTCAATGTTTAATGCTCAAGGGTGTAATGAGACCATATGAGATGCCCTCTGAAAATGACCAGGGCTCAAGTCAGAGTGTTGGACACTTCTTTTAAAGTGAACTTTGTAAATATTGATCATGAGAAGTGCATGGGGATAATGTTAGCCTGATGAGCTCTATTCTTTTACTCCTGGAGCACAGGGTGGGTCAGAGAGGTCTGATTCTCTTTAGGATCTCTATGTTTGATGTCATCCAGTCAGCAGATAATGTGTCGAATGTGTCCATATCCCAAGTATCTAACAATATTTTCTCTTAGTTTTATTTAATCTAAAGAAAAGTATATTGTGTAAGCTATCAATATTTGTAGGCATCAATCATATAGATTTGCAATACTCTTAAGACTTGAGGACTTTTTTTTTACAAGGTTTCAGGCTTTGAGGAAAATAGGTTTGGAGTGAAGGTATTCAAGGAGCTACTGATTTTATTTATTTTTTTATTTTATGGTACTGGGGATTGAACCCAGAAGTGCTGTACTACTGAGTGTCTCCTGAGATTTTTAATTTTGAGACAGGGACTTGTAAAGTTGCTGAGGCTGTCCTTAATTTGTGATCCTTCTACCTCAGCCTCCTGAGTAGCTGTGATTATAGGTGTGGTGCTCTTGAAGATTTTTAGGTTTCAAGTGACAGTTGCTTTTCTCTACCCCATTAGTCTCCTTTATACCTATTTTTATATCTTGCCTCCTGCCTCATAAAGTAAAGGATAAATTAAACAAAATCACTTTATAATAAAAGAACTCGTGTGTTAGCATATAAAAGCTCAGGCATTAGAAGGTGTGAAGAGGTGGTCAGATGCTTCTGTCCTCTATGTGCAATCACCATGATATGACAGCTACGGATAAACTGACACAGGTGTGTTGTATTGGTGACTTAAGTATTATTAGCATTATTAAGTTAGGTGATATGATTTTCTAAAATGGCAAATAAGTCTTGATAACATTCTGAACAAAACAAAGTTCTACATTGGTTGTATTTCTGGAAAATTGAGGATGTTTAAAATCATGCAAAAATACTCTTTTATGTGTAAAATTAGTTTAGATATCAGACCAAGTTAATTTTAAATATATTTTGCACCTTTTTTTTTTTTCACTGCAATGAAGTTTCTGTGTATTATAGGCCATTCAGAATCTCTGGTCCTCACCTATAAAACACCAGAAAATGCATCAATGTGACAACTAACAAAACCCTTCCTTAAATTTCTAAAATGCCCTCCAAGACAGTAAGTACTGCCTCATGAGGAACCACTGCCATGTTGGTTGGCCTCCTAGCTTCCTGAATGCACGCATTTATTAAACAAACAAACAAATTTGCATGATATTGAAGGCATATTTTCTGGATTTAGGTAAAAGAAGAAATTCTGCTTTGCTATGATCTTGTCACATCTTTGCTCAAAGCAAACTCTTTGGGCCTCCCCAGTTGCTATAGGGCAACTTCCACAATTCAGCACCTGGCGATCAGAGGCCTCCAGAATCAGACCTGACCTCTGTCCTCAGGGTCCCAGTTTACCTTCTCAAGAAAACTGTGCTCCAGTCATCCCCATCATCCCCAAGTATCTGTGCCTTTCTCTGTCTGACTTCATCCCAACCTCCTGTTCCTATGTGTTCAAATAAAACATGGTTTGCTCTCTCTGGGTATATAAATATAGTGTGACATTTGAAGGCACTATTAACTTGAAGCTTTCTTACTGTAATCTACACGGTTAAGGAGTAATGCAGTTTAAAATATTCTTGCAAATAAAAAGGAAATATTTCTCTTGCAACTGACATTTGTTCTTTTACTTGATTAAAAATACAGATGTTCTCCATGCCAGCAATCAAAGAAGTCTTAAAGTTCAGGCACTGCATACACTTGGAAATCTTCTCATCTTTGCAGAAAAGAAAAGGTAGATTTTTAGGAGTTAATAGGACAAGGGCTAACTTTTTTTGTTTGCAAAAGATTTTAATAATTAGGAAAAAATATTGTCTTTCATAAATTTTAGTTGTACCATGCTTCATTTTATAGTATCAAATGCTACTTGAGAGAAACCGTTATGAGCAATGGATGATATAGATTTATTTTCTAATGTCTTCATTGAATATTTTTCCACCCTATTTACTTTTCTTTTTGGAAAGTGGGCTTGAAGACCAGTCTCAGAAAACATACCACTTGATGCTTTTTTGTTGTTGTTGTTGTTCTAGGGCTGCTTTTAAGTGTTGGTGTCAAGCTCTTGATGATATATTCAGAAAACCAGATGTGCTACATACATGGAAAGAATTTGTTCCCTCCTCCACCAGTGCCCCCAACAGTTGTTCACCTCAGACCTTCAAAGACTACAGTGAGGAATTTCTATCAAAAGTTGGCATTTGGGGGTGTCTTCAAGGTGCAGTCATATCCGCAAAGATAGCTCAGTGAGTATGAGGATGGAATGACCCACATCCCAGCTACCCTTTGTGCAATACCCACACGTGCTATCTTCTTGGAAAGTTATATCCCCACCATGCAGGGTGATATGGATTACTCACTGATGATGTTTATTGTTTTTGACCATCTCCTCTATCTTTCTCTTTTGCTCTCACCCTCTTGCTTTTTAGCTCTCTAGGACCTCCACTTCCACCCCCACACCTCCCAGCTCTAACGTAGGAGCACCACATCAGCATAGATAGGTCTTTGCTTTATTCATAAAGGTATCCCATGTGTCTGGCATTCATTGACTACCTGTTGAAGAAGTGAGAGAAGGAATAGTTGGCATGGAGGCAAGAATAATGATGGAGGTTGGCTAATGTGGGAAGGGTCAAGAGTATTATTGAAACCCTTAGCATGTCACTCATTCTTTCTCAGCCTCAGTGTCCTCATCTATAAATGGTGATGGTGAAAATTACATGACACATGCTAACAGTGTGCTTGGCTTGCCATAACAAAGTATCACAGATTGGGCATAAGCACCAGAAATGTATCATCTCAGAGTTCCGGAGTCTGGACATCTGAGATCAAGATTTTGGCTGATTGGTTTCCTCTGAGGCCTCTTTCCTTCACTTGTAAAGGGCCATTTTCTCACCATGTCCTCCTATGGCCTCTCCTCTGTACTGTCTGTGTCCTAATCTCTTTTTCTTATGCAGATGTCAATCATATTAGGTCAAGGTCCATTCATATGCTTCTTTTTAACTCAAGTACCTTTTTGGAGACCCTATCTCCAAGTACAATTACATTCTGAGGGTATTGAGGGGTTAAGATGTCTATACACAAATTGTGAGGGGATAAGTTTAGCCCATAATGCAGTAGGATTAGTTTCCTATCCCTGCTGTGACAAATTGCTACAAACTTAGTGACTTAAAACAAAATGGTTTTGTTGTTTTGCTGTGCTGGGATGGAACCCAGGGCCTCACACAAGCTGGGCTAGCGCTACTGCTGAGCTACACCCCCAGCATGTACCCAAATTTATTATCTTAGAGTTATGAAGTTCAGAAGTATTAAAATCAAGGCATCAGTGGGGATGTGCTTCCTCTGGAGGCTCCAGGGAACAATCTGTTTCCTGGCCTTTTCCAGCTTTGGGTTCTTCTGCATTCCACAGCCAAAGCCCCATCTATCCTTAAGACCAGCCGCCCTCCATCTTTCTCTTTTGCTCTCACCCTCTTGCTTTTTGGCTCTCTAGGACCTCCACTTCCACACCCTACATCTCCTTCTCTGACTCTGATTTACCTGAATAAAATCCAGGAGGGTTGTGCCATCTCAAGGTCCTTAATTCAATCACATCTGCAAAGTCTTTTCTGCCACGTAAAGTGACACATTCACAGGTTCTAGAGCATAAGACATGGATTTTATTGAGGCCCATTGTTCAGGATGTCATGAATAATATGTGAATAATATGTGAATGTCGATCACAATGCTGAATAGTTACCACACATGAATACCTTGAATATTTGGATAATGAGAGAAATGTAAAAATTAAAGAAACAGTAGAAGTATACCTCTCCAGTTTTTCCTTTCGCTCACCTAGAGGGCGTGGTGGCCAAAAACCTGCATTCTATTTTGAGCCTCAGAGCAAACTGAAACAATAACTTCTCCAAGTTAGTTTTTTCATATTTTCAAAAGAGTAGTATCTTTAGGCAGGGGAAATAAGAAATTGCCACTTTAAAGGCATTACCCATGAAAGATCTTTTAAACTTCAATCAAGTTTGATTTTTTTTTTTGTGCTCCTGAAAAGGAATTTATCCTTAGACAGATACACACACACCACACACACACACACACACACACACACACACACACATACACACATGCGTGCCACTTATGACAGTAGAGGTTGGTGGTTGGGACTAGAAAAGCCAAGGGAGGAAGGTCACAATTTGGAAATGAACAGCTCTGGCTTTCTTGCCAGAGGCACCTCAGCTCTGTGTCTGAAGTTATCACCTAGTGATTTCAACCCCAAAGAAAGCTGTTTCCTGTTTACCCAGCTGGAGGTCTGACTTCCAAAAACCTGAGTCCACAGGGAAGGGCAGGGGTCCTTGAGCTCTTCTCCCAGACTCTGAGTGAACTGAACTGAACTCTTCTCACTGCAAAATCAAATATCTACACAGAAAAGCCGAGGTCAGAGGAACAATGTTATTAATACAATGAGGCTGATGGGTTTTATCTAAGTAAGATTCAGGAGCAGGCAACACGGTTTACAGCTGCAAATGCATATTTCAAGACCCATGTAAAGGAAACTCACAATGTTCTTAGGGGCATCAAAAGGGACAATAGTAAATGGAAATATTATCTTAATTTTTGGCAGAGGGACTGAGTGTGAGCAGCTCTATAATAAATGGCTAGGAGAATATATGTTGTTGCAATATTTGGGGTTTAACAGTCATATTCATTATGGCTATAACTAATTATGGTTATTTAACTATACTCATTAAAAATCTTAATTGTTACTTCATTTTCTACCCCAAAATTCCACTCTGAAGAATTTATCCAGTGGAATTAGAAGGATACATGCTCAAAAATGTAGCTACAACAGTATTCACTTCATCACTGGAGAAAACTAAATGAGATTAATATTTTAATATTCTAGTACATGTAAATAATAAAATATCAAAGTTTTAAAAAATAATGATGTAACCTATTATGTCTGTGAATGGAAAATTTGTATATAAAGCTAGCATTATATTTTACAATTTTAGTCTTAATATGCAAGTATTTATGTTTCCCTTTATATAACCATGTATAGAAAAATCTAGAAGGAAACTAACCAAATTGTTACCAGAAATCATGTTTAGGGGGTAAGATTATGGCTAATTTTCCATTTCTTCTTCATATTTTTTTACGTTTATTTTTTCTTTTATTTTCTGTATCCTAGATATATGTCTAAAGACATATATTTATATCAAAATATTTTGGAAAATTGTCTACTAATTGGTTTTTCTTATTCTCACTTAGATTTATTATAACCCTGAACGTTAACAAGAGAATCAGCTGCTGCATTTTTTCTGCATTACTCTTTCAGGTAACACTTGATGTGTGTTTTTTACAATAGCATGACTATTCTAGAAAAAAAAAAAAAAGAAGTGCTGTTGTTATTAAATTTCGTAAAGCTCACAGGTAGGAAAATAGCATGAACTGTGATTAAATGTCACAAGCCCATTTCTCCTTTGCTGGCTAAGCCCATCTCCTCTGGTAGCACATTCCCCTTGAACATTCACCATTTTTCTCCTTTAACAGAAGGAGTTTTACAAATAGGGAAACTGCGTCTCCTGTTGTTGGTAAGATCAAGTTACTAGTTGGTCCATGTGAAGCCAGTCTGTTTGACTTCAAATGGTTGCCTTAAGTTACCTCAACTTAATTAAGTTTTGTTGGGTTGCACCATGTAAAATATGTCATCTAAAAAGCAAGTAATAAGTTGAAGACTAGAAGAGGAGTGCTTGTGTGTCTCAGGATTTTGGTTTGACTTCACTGAAGAAGAAAGGAGCTTTTATCTGAAATACAAGACATTCTGAGATTCAGGGATGCAGCCAGGGGCCTTTGCAGTCTGCTAAAGGTTCTGTTTACTTTGGCAGATGGACAGATAACCCTTGTTATGTGTATCAGAGGAGGCTAAGAGCATCTGAAATCTGGATAGATAAGTTCTTTGGGAAAAGCTCCTTTGAATATAAGAACAGACTTTGCAATTTTTTCATATTCCAAATACCTTCTGCTGTGCTTCAAAGGGAAGAAGGAAGGAGGCAAGAGAGGGAAGGGAATAATGATGATCTAACCCAGACTCCTTATATCTCAGTTTTACTTTCTCATATTCCTTGTTTTTGAAGATAATGCTCCTTATGTTTTAGAAAAAATGTGATTTTAAAAAATGCTCAGTTTTTTGTTTAACTTGGACATTAAATATTGCTACACTAGTAATGCTATACCTAAAAATAAAAAGCAGCTGGTGGGATTAATTTTAAAAGTCTGCTCATTCTTTTTAAGATTTTTAAAGCAAATTTGTGAAATTAAAAATTTCAACAACTACCTAGTATTTTAGAATAGGATCTTAATAAGCAATCTGATTAAAATTCTTTCCCGATATAAATTTTAAAAATTTATAGTGCATTCATCATCAAAAAGAGAATTAGTTAAGATAATCAAAGAAATACTTCTAAATGTAAAATTGGGTTTTATGTATTTGTTTTAGTCAACTTTGTTTGCTGCTATGACTAAAAGACATGACCAGCACAATTGTAGAGGAGGAGAAGTTTATTTGGGGGCTCACAGTTTCAGAGATCTGTAGTTACAACAATATTCACTTCATCACTGCAGAAAACCAAATGAGATTAATATCTTTAGATTCTAGTACATGTAAATAATAAAATATCAAAGTTTTAAAAATAATGATGTAATCTATTATGTCTGTGAATGGAAAATTTGTATATAAAGCTAGCATTGTATTTTATAATTTTAGTTAAGAGTCCATAGACAGCAGGTTCCATATCTCATGGTAAGGCAGGATATCAATGGCTTAAAAGTGTAGAGGGAAGCAACTCACATGATGATCAGGAAGCAGAGAGATACTCCACTCGCCAAATACAAAATACTTACCCCAAAGACACCCCTTCTCCAATGCCCCACTTCTTTCAGCCACAACCCACTTGCCTTCAGTCACCACTCACTTAATCCCATCAAGTGTTAATTCACTGATTGGGTTAAGGCTCTTGTAACCTAATCATTTCTTCTCTGAACTTCTTGCATGTTTCACAGATGAACTTTTGGGGGACACTTCACATCTAAACCACAAAAGTATTCATCTTGTTTTCCCAGAATCTAGTACAATGTTGATCATGTAAGTTACCAAGAGATAGTGTCACATTAACCAGATTATCTTTATATTTATTGCAGTTGAAAGTTTGGAATTACCTGTCCTTAATTTAGACTTCAAGTTGTTATTTTCTCAATTTATAATCCTGATATAGATTTTTTGGTTATACAGACATGACTTTAAATCTCTTTTCCATAATCATTAGCTGTGTGACCTCAGATAAGGTGATTGATTATACCACAATTATGTAACTTCTGAGATGGAGATTCTTCCTTCTAAGAGTGGGTTAGATGAGCATTAAGTGAAATAATGTTTATAAAAAAATTATTAGAAAATTCCAACACAAATTGACTCTCACTAAATACTTTATGTAATGGTAATTTCTTTGAAAATAATAAATATACAATATACAACTACGATGGAATTTTAAAAGCCCATCTTGCCTGGTAAAAACAATAATAGGATAGTAGAGGATAGGAAAGTCAGCAGAATACAACAGACACTAGTATGGCAGTATGTAAAAATGTGGATGTGTAACCGATGTGATTCTGCAATCTGTATACGGGGGAAAAAATGGGAGTTCATAACCCACTTGAATCAAATGTATGAAATATGATATGTCAAGAACTATGTAATGTTTTGAACAACTAATAAAAAACAATAATAATTAATATTACAGTAATATTAATAATTATAATAATATAATTACTGTTTATTATGGAGTATAGTATGTTAGACATGTGCTAAGCACTTTAGGAAGTGATAGCATGTACTTATTTTTTGGTTTCATCATTGCAAGTGCAATTTATAGCTTTTTATTTTACTGTATATCATTTTCAGGGTTTGCTTCGAACCACACTTCCACATCCTAAAGCTGAACGTTGTTATGCTCAGTATGAAATCACTCAGCTTCTCCCAGGCATTGAACTCTTCTCCGATAGACACAGGGCTGATATCTGCTCTGTAGTTGCAAGCTTGTATTACATCATACGTGAACTGCACTATGCTAAGCAAAATCTAATGGTGAGTAATTTGTGAAACCAACAACTTTTAATTCGCTTTGGCATATTTCCCCACTTA